GATTAAACATCAGAATATCTAATCCTTTCTCAGCAAATAAGGCAAATCTGTACGTTCTGAGATTTCGTAATATTCAAAAGAGATTACCATAATAGTTGTGTGTAATTAAATAGTACTTATCCTCCTCTTTCCCGTCTTGCACACCCAAACAAAAAGTTCCTGATGAAACTGATGAGGGCAGTTCCTGAGGAAGGCAGCATGAATGATGTGCAGATCACAAGGCAACAAATGGGTGAAAGGGTGGTGATGGCAAAGAGCTGCCCTTCCCTGCAGAACAGTGTTTGGCGGTGCTGTGGTGATGTACTGTCACAAATGAAATTTTATTATGCTGTTAGGGTGTTATCAAAAGTGCTGGTGTCTGTTTCCATGGAGACCCTCCTTGTTCCCAGGGGAACCCAGGAATGGCATGGTACCTGGCTATGCCAGCTGTGATTAGGCTTGCCTGCTGCTTGAAATGTAAATGTGCAGCTACACAGGAGTTTCTGTAAGTAATAGTGGCCCAACATGTACATGCTGCAAGGACAGAAGTATTGTAATAGGCCATTAATCAGAGGGAATCCAAAGCACGGAAGTAACCAGGAAACTTTGGATTTTATAGGAGTTCTTCGACTTGCACAGAGATGCAACATGTACAGAAAAGTGAGGGGTGACCCACACATTCAGGGTGTTACAAGTAAAGAATGTAGTATGTGAATGCCTGATTTTTCCCTTGTTTAAAGCTACATTTTCCGCTCACTTTGTGGTGGATGTGAAATGGCCAAAATAATGTGAAGACTACTTGGGGGAGGGGAGGAGGAGGGGGGCTTCTTCTAGGATCTCCCCACTTTAGCCTCTTGCTTAAACTAACCTGTCATCCTGGTCTGGTAGGGCAGAATTGCGGCTGGGTCAGCTGGAACTGGGGGCGGTCACTGCAATAGGTGTGAGGAATGTTCTCAACCCTGGGGAGGATGGGGCTGGGGATAAAGCAGCATGAGGATTGCAGCAAGGGGCTTGCTTTGATGCTCCACAGCTATTCTTTGACATCCTGGGGAGTCTGTGGCCAGAGAGAATGCTTTAAAGTTTGGAAGGATTATGATGCTTCAGAAAACAAGTGTTAAGATTCATTAAGACTTCCTGAAGCAAACTTGTCCTGTTTATTGCATGAGGTGTCCCGAAGCTCATGACGTTTCTCACAGTAGGCCCTGTGACCATATGGAATCCCATTCAGACCTGACTCCATCCACTTGGTTCAGACCCTAGGAGCAGCTAGCTGGAGTCTGGCAGGACCTGCTTTCTGGCCAATTCCTGTGTAACTTCTCAGGCATCAGCAGCATCACGATAGCAACAGCTGTTGAAATGGTTTTCCAGGCTGGTAGGGATAACGCCAATAACTGATTCACTTTGCATAAAATGAGTCAGCCAGTTTCCCTCATGCTGTGTGGGAAATAGAGCTGGCGGATAAGCACAGCAATATTAATTTCCTAACCCACTTGGAGTTTTGTTAAAGAGATTAGACAACAATGTTGCTCCTTTCTGCTGTGGAAATACCACTCTGCTGCCTTATTCCTTTTTATTCCTCTAAAGAGCCTGGCATGATCAGCAAGAGGCTGCATTCCTGTAGCCATCCCTTCCCCTGGTGCCTTTGGGCACAGCTCTGCTCCTGTGAGGGGAGGGGGACTTCCTGTAAAAAGTAGTCTTCGGCCAAGTAGTGGCAAGGGAGAAGTGAGGGGGTTTCCTTCTCATGTTGCAATAGCCCATCTCAGGGGCATTGCTGGACTCTGTTAAAGATCTTTGGTCCTGGGAGGTTGCAATTGTCCTTCTTTTTGAAGTTGTTATTGGGGGTGGGGCTTCAGAATGTCTCTGTTTATAGAAGATATGATCGGCTATTCAGTATGTAGAGTAAGTAGGTGAGCCAATTTACTGATCTGGGATAGGGCTCTCCTGAAGAAAATTCTTGACCTGATTCAAAAACAACTAAATGTAATGCCTTCTTGAAATGTGGGCTGTATGCCTGTCTTGAAATTCCACCCTAGGTTTGTGTTGAATGTGTTGACTTCAAGGAGCTAGGATATTTTTGTCTTCTCCATGGAGTTCATGCCAAGCTGCTTGTGATACCCTCACAAAAGGCTCTTTGTTAGGGTGAAAGTAAGGTTGGGAGCATGTCTAGGGAATTTAAAGATTAAAATCCTTATGTAGCTACAAACAAATATATTCAAAAACATGGAAATTCACAGTAAAGGTAGCAAAACCACCTTAACTCTGCCTCCACAGAATGTCCCATGGAATGTAAGTTCTGCCATTTTGTTTCTTGCATAGGTGTCTCCAGTAGTAAGTGTGATGCTTTGTCTCCCCACTCACCTTTGCTCTGTTCATATAAGTGCTGTAGTCATAGAATCATAGAATCATAGAATATAAGGGTTGGAAGGGACCCCAGAAGGTCATCTAGTCCAACCCCCTGCTCAAAGCAGGACCAATTCCCAGTTAAATCATCCCAAATCATCCCAATCATCCCATAGTGTTACAGTGTGAGCTGATGAGGGTTGGGCACGGGCATATGCCAGCTGACTCCAGTGACTCTTGGATAACTGGTTTGCGTATGGAATCGTAGGGCCTAAGACTGAGAGGTATTCAACTGCCTCAGTCACCTTGCAGGATTGAGCCCTTGATGAAGAATGGAGAGAGCCATTTGTCTAATCCAAGATTTGAATTGGATTATGCTTGATTTGCCCTAACTGCTTATTTTTGGAGACATTGTCATGGCATCCCAAAATATTGTTGTCACATTAAATCTCAGTGAAATGCGATTTGTGGCCCCCTCATTCTATCTGACATTCCATGTCCTTTTGTGTACACTAAGCATTGTGCTCCCAGCCAGTTAGTGTATGTCTGCAACTAGAAGGGTGAATCTCCTTTAGTGCTATGGGGAAGTGGGAATAGAGGCTCCGGGAAGGTGAACTGGCTTTGATAGCCTGTTATAGCATTTTATAGCAGAAGTTCCCCGGAGGAAATATAGGGCAATTTCTGTGTAACCTCTTAAATCCCTTTTGTGTATTAAAAAATGCAGTCTGATATCCACAGGAGCTTTGAATTAAATCAGTATTCTCTCTGCCTTGGAATAGAACAGGCTTTAGGAAAATGGGCCTGCCTTTTGTAATTTAGGGAGGGGTCTATAAACAATTGTTTCATACCAAAGTTGCCCTTACACAGCACAAGCTCCAAGGAGATTTGGTTTATGGGGCAATCACTGGGGACCATTAAATTTTATTCCACGGACCATTAACTTCCCATTTCTGCCAACAGTAATAGAGGGTGCGTAACATAGTGTCTAAGAGTAACCAAACAATGATGTGTTTTGCCCAAAAAAAGAGGAGATTTTGGTACAACTGAAGTCTCCGCAGTATGTTCCTGACTGTGGATGATATTTAGTATCTCATTTAGTATTTGGTGCATATAACTGCTTTTGTTGCAGTTTCCAGTTGCCTGCTTGTGAGCATAGGAGCTGCAAGAACTCTGCCGTTTCCTTTGGGAGTTGTTTTCAGGGTTACAGTAAATATGTAGAGAGTGTCTTGTGTTTTGCTGATGTCAAGAGACCTGACACCTTGTGGTAAAGAGGCACAGTCACGGAGCTTGGAAAACATGAATTCCTTTCCACTCCAAATCATGCATCTATACACATGCACATGTGTGTCTGCATCTGCACAGCCCACCAGCCTACTTCATGTAAACACATTCTGTGAATTCACACATGGCATTAGCTCCCTCCAGCTGTTGCTGTACTTGCATATTGTGGCAGCCATCCCCTAATTCCAGGCATAGCAGGATGAGGCAAGTACATCATCATAATATGTTGTATGTATTATAAATGCACAGTCTATAGTGATGTTCTAGTAGATAAAAGCCTTTGCTGTTGCACAGGTGTAATTCATAAAGTTGAGTTTAAAAACAACAAAAAAGCCAAAAATGACCGAGAACTTAAAATTGGGTGGTAACAGACTGAATCCTAGTGAAGACTGAATCTGGTGATATTCTGAGCAAAAAAAGCTCTCAGCTGTATTGGTAGCTGTTTTCCATCACTTCATGGTGACCCAATAAACATTCTAGGCTTCAGAGTGATTTTGGGGGTTATTATGTATACTGGTGGTTTGATTTGTGTGTGGGATGTGTTGTGCTGGGAGAGTTGTGTGTGTTTGTGCAGGTGAAAATGAGTTTATACTGCAGTGCAGGGCAGTGTGTTTGTAGTGGTGGTGTGTGGGTGATTTTGAAGAAAGGTAGCAGCTCTTTGCTACTAGTCTTTGCTCTCAGAGGCAAAAATACCTTCTTAGCCCCCAAAAGGCTATGTCCCAAGTACTGGTGAATGCTAGCTGATGCCAGCGTATCCTCCTCCTGCCTCTGATTCTAGTGTTGCCTTGTAGATTATATGACATTGCATGGGGTGGGTGGTAATGATGCCAGGCAGTTAAAGGCACCAGATCTCTGCATTACTCTGCCCTTCTCTCCCATTCTCAATCGGTGACAAACTGACCGTTAGCAAATATTCATGTTGTTGTCCAAGTTTGTCTGGGAATTGTTAGTGTTAATGAAATGCCCAGTCTTGTCTATGCAGGGGCCAAATAATTCTGCCTGAGCATAAGGGGTGTGGGAATACGTGTCTGTCTGACTCACTCAGCAGAAGCTGCTTCATGAGTTGACCCAGTTTAGTGTGGTGTCTCTAGCAAAGTGCCCCTGCCCTAACTCTGCAGTGCCAGTAGGAAGTATGAACCCAAGTACTGGCCTGCAGCCTGAACCCAGGACCTCTTCTGCCTGTGGTGTATTTGGTCTACCCACAGAGGCAGAACATGAACTTGCAGGTGTAGACTGGTCATAGAAAATCACAAGCCTTTTTTTAAGAATACAAATGTTAACTTTAAAACAAACAAAAAAAAACAACACCCCACCCAAACAAAAATCTCTGACCGAGTTTGCATCTCATATTCTGGGCTGATTGATGTATTCTGCAATTCTTCTGCATTTGTCTGTTGCAGAGATTTGCCTCAGTATGGGCAGAAGCAGTGGCAGTCCTATTTTGGGCGAACCTTTGATGTTTACACTAAACTCTGGAAATTTCAACAGCAGCATAGGTAAGAAAATGCTCCTGAGAACCATCTTCAAATAATTCTGCAGTGTTCTTTTTGTATTATGGTAGTGCCCAGAGGCCTGGACTGAGTTTCATCCTGTGCTGGGACAGCACAATAGGGACAGTCCCTGCCCTGAAGAGTTTAAATTTAAAATTTAAACCAAAAAATGTTGCATATAATCTTTTCTTATTGTAACCTTTTTTTAAAAAACAAAACCAAAAACTCCCAGGCTGCTTACATGCACGCTGCCTTAACCTGCTGAGGGTCTCTGCAGTGCACCTGTGTGCCCATGTAGAATGGGTGCAATTTCTTGCTGCTACTCAAGCTGATCTTTTACACCTAACTGTACCCGGCTCTCTTGAGTGTTCTCAGGAAGCTGTGACCCTCTTTCACGTTATTTGTGAAACACGATCCCGCCAGCTGTCACACATTTTTGGGGCTGTGAAATCCCTTGTTTTGCAATGTGCCCCTTCTAATGTGTGCACAACTCTGCCAGAGCTGGCTTGTAAATGCCATGTTAGATTATAAAACTTTCTCTATGGGCTGTTACGAATACCCACGTAAATAAGGCAAGCAGGATTTGGTCTTAGAATGGTGTCTTGACTTGGATTTGGATGGGTTGCTGTTCTGGGAAAATCATGGGATATATTAATACTCTTCTTTTTCTCTTGCTTGAAATAGACAAGTACTGGACAATCGATATGGATTGAAGAGGTGGCAGATTGGGGAAATTGCCTCCAAGATTGGGCAGCTCTACTACCATTATTAGTAAGTGAATCTATTTGTGTCTGCTGGAGACAAGTGGTATTGCTCATGGCCCCATGCAGCATACATGGTGATAGTTCCAGAACAATTTCCTTCCTGAGCCAGTGGCGAAGGATGGGGTTGGGAGGAATCGTGTATCTCAGGTGACTGAGCCTTGGTCTGCACTGCAGAGTTGTGTTGATATAAGGCAGCTTACGTCAACCTAATTAGTCAGGGTACACACTACAGCCTTCCTCCCTCTGATGTAAGTGCCCTCTTACACCAACATAATAACTCTGCCTCCCCGAGAGGTGGAGGGTGTATGTCGTGTAGTTAGGGTGTCGCAGTGTCCATGTGGACACTGCATTACTTACATCTGCTGTTGGCTCTCATTCTTGTCAATTTTGCAGCTCCATACTGGAACCATGAAATTGACAAGAAAGTCCAGTTGTCACTGGGGTTGTGGGGGTTTCCAGCTAGAGCCCAGCTGTTCTCCGGGTTCCCTGCTCCCAGTCGGGCTGTGTCCTCCCAGCTCGGAGCACAGGTGCCCCCTGGATCCCCGCTTCTGGTTCCCAGACCAACAGCTGGCCCGGCTCCTTGCTGGCCAGGCTCTCAGCCCCCCTCACTGCCCCTCTCTAGTCTGTGGAAACACTCCTAGTGAGGATGTGCACCACCAACAGAAAGAGGGTATTGTGGATGTGAACCACCATAGTAATTACTGCAGTAGTTGTAAGTCGACCTTACTTAGGTCGACTTATATTTCTAGTGTAGGCATGCCCTCAGGCGTGGTACAAGAAGGCCTTAGGAGGGGCCACTCACAGCATTTGTTGCCCAAAAAGATTCATTGCAGAATCAAAAAGTGGATCCCAAAGATGACCCTCATGCCCAAATATTATTCTGCTAGTTTTACTGACAGTGCTAAAGTCTGCTTCTTCGACCTCAAGGGTCACTTTAAAGTCTTCCATATATGTTGCATTGACTTTGCATAGTGATTTAGTTACTAGTTTGGGTTTTTAAACTGTTGTTCCCTTTAAATCTTCCATGTTAATATATCACCTGTACATATGGGCATGAGGTACTGACATCTGGTCTTTGTTGCTGGCTACTTCCTTAGACTGTCTGAAACGAAATTGAAGCTCTGGAATCTCCTTCAATCATGTGCTGGGGTTGGGAAACTTGCTTTTTTTAATGTGGCACTCACTTGAGAGAGAGCATGTTTTATCCACTCAATCATCTTGTGTGTCAGTGGCGGGAGGTATGGGTGACAGGAACCTATACATGGAGCCGTGAGGTAATATGTTTCTCCCGTAGCCTGCGGACGTCTGAAACCAGCTACCTGAATGAGGCCTTCTCCTTCTATTCAGCTATTAGACAGAGATCATATTACTCCCAAGTCAATAAAGAGGACAGGTATGACTGCACCAGCATCTTGCCCTTTTTTTTTCCCCAGGATTAGAGCGATGAGCAGAAGCAACCTTGAATTTTAAAGTGTGATTAAGGGAAAATAACTGGTGTAAGAGCAGCTCCTCAGAGGAAGTCGTTGTTAATCCTAACAACCCTGATTAAACACTTTATTGTAGAACCACCAGCCATGTTTGGAGACTAGCAGGATTAGCAATTGGGTTCAGCAGCAAGGAAAACCTTCAGCTGCTCATCTGTGTTCTTCCCAGCCCTTGTTATCAGTGCTGTCACTGGGAATACCCCCGTAATGTTCTAGAGCTGGGAGATTAATTTGCTCATCCAGAAGCAAAGTAGAGGAAATAACAGGTCATTTTATTTTTACTTCTCTGAAGTGCAGTGATGTTGGCAGTTTGGCAGCCTTACCACACTTGACTAGGGTAATGTGGTCTTCCCTGTCCATTAACTATTCCAGAAAGCCTGAGAGATGCGTTCTTATGGGGAGCCATCCGGAGCAGGGCTCATTCAGAAGGATGCTGTGAGGTGTTGTCTAACACGTCAGGCTCCCAAGAGACTAGGAGGATTCAGTATTAGCAGGTTTCAGAGTAGCAGCCGTGTTAGTCTGTATCCGCAAAAAGAAAAGGAGGACTTGTGGCACCTTAGAGACTAACCAATTTATTTGAGCATAAGCTTTCATGAGCTACAGCTCACTTCATCGGATGCATTCAGTGGGTATTTTCCACTGAGTGCATCCAATGAAGTGAGCTGTAGCTCATGAAAGCTTATGCTCAAATAAATTGGTTAGTCTCTAAGGTGCCTCAAATCCTGCTTTTCTTTTTTCAGTATTAGCAGACACTGAACTCAGGAGGTTCTGGCTGTCAGTCCTGTGCTCTGGCTGGGAGGTGAGGTCAGTGGCTAGTTAGAATTGGAGAAGAAGTGATCTGGATTGATTTTTGTGAGTTTTATACTGATGATCACTGCAATATAGAATTGCCTGCCAAGTTTGTTACAGGCACTCAAGCATTTTGGACTTGGTTAGCAGAGCCTAGACTTACTGATTTTTCTGAGCATACCCTCTGAAAATCTGCAGATAGACTAAACAACCATTTTAGTGTCTCTTATTGTTGGCCTCAGATCTTAGCTTATTTTTCCTTGGAGAATCTCCTCGCTCCAGTCGGGGTGTCAGAGCTCCTTCAGACTAGATGTGCTTGGCAGAGATGTCCCCTTTAAATACTGTGGCAGATTTATTTTACAAAGGTGAAAATGTGATCAGACATTATGTCCCATAGTTGAACTTACAGATATTTAATCTTTTGTTCTCTCTGATGGTTGGACTCAGTGGTCCAGATTCTCATTTGTCATCCCTCAGCAGATAACTCAAAGGAGACAGGTTCTGACCATAAACTGGCAGAAAGCCAGTAGAGCCAACTCCTGCACTACCCATCCACATCCCACATTTGAGTAGGGGATGTGTGCGAGGCAGCACAGAGCTCTGCTGGTCCTTAGCTGATGTGTGGGGCCCTTTAGGGATTATGCCCAGCAGGTCTAAATTAGAGCAGCTCCTACATTGCTTGAATTCATGCTTGGGTTAGCACAGATCATCTCTTTCCATGACCACTGCATTGGTGTTTTATTTTTATTTTTCAGGCCTGAACTGGTGGTTAAGAAGCTGCGTTACTATGCAAGGTTTATAGTGGTTTGTCTTTTGCTCAACAAAATGGATGTTGTGAAGGACCTCGTAAAGGTAAATTAATGATATGAGGACAATAGAAAGTGTACATGCCCATGCAATACAGGCCACTAGTCACGGAGAGCTATTCTTCCTGCATGTAGTAGGATATTATGGCATGCAGGATATGTCTCTTTCAGTTGAAATCTCACACGCAAGATCTCAGCTGCTGCTGTTCCTGTTAATCATACAGCTTTAACTAAATCTGGCCTTGGGAGCTGCAGTGGGAGGAACAACATCCTTATGTGTTTTGGTGTTCTGTGCATCATGTAGACGTAAATGACCCGAGCCCTTGACCAAAGAGTGGTTTTTGCTATTGGTGGAAGGCAGATCTCATTAAGTGGGGTTTGGATAAACCCCAGACAGTGTGGATGTGAATATAACACTTGTTTCAGCTGTCTGAATACTTTGGGGGTCTTCTCTCTAGCCTTGTGCACCTCCCTCCTCCCCTGCCAGTAGCTCCCACCTCTCTCTGACCTCAAAAGTCTCCATGAAATCCCTCCCATTTTGATTCTAGTCCTTCTGCTCGGCAGTGCTGTGTTCCTTTCCAATCTGGTACCTGGAGTCTGTGAGGTGTTTCTTGCAAATGAGAAGAATCTATTGTGCACTTCCAGAAACCAGATTGGGAAAGGCTTGAGACTTTAAGGGACAGGAAAGTTAGTCTGTGTATGCGCATGGTGGGGGTGAGGGAAAGACTTACCTTTCAGAACTGCTTCAGACTTTGGGGGACAATAGATACATAGGGATTAGGATACAGTCCAGGGTATGTCATCAAGCAGTAATCCATCTTCAGTATGTTTGGAGTTGAGGGAATATCCAGGACCAAATTAGATACTTTATTGTGTTTAGGGAAAATGTTACGCTCCAGTGACCTGCTGATTTCCACTTGAAGAGACTACATATTAAGGGAAAACCATCCAAGTAGGCATGGGTGTCTGCAGTTGGATGGCTGTTTCTCACGACAGTCTTGCTTTCCGAAGAGTAATGACAGGAACACCAAACTTTCCCAAGTTTCAGAGTAACAGCCGTGTTAGTCTGTATTCGCAAAAAGAAAAGGAGTACTTGCGGCACCTTAGAGACGAACCAATTTATTTGAGCATAAGCTTTCGTGAGCTACAGCTCACTTCATCGGATGCATACTGTGGAAAGTATAGAAGATCTTTTTATACACACAAAGCATGAAAAAATGGGTGTTTACCACTACAAACCTTCCTACACTGCTGCAAGCCATATCCTGGTGTTGACTGTTTTATGTAGGCTGCATTGCTCTTTGCCTGTCTGGATCCAGTGGGACAGACACCAAAGGACTGCACAGCACAAACTAGCAGAGGAGGCATCGGGAAACGACAGGGCATTCACTTCCTGAACTTGTTGAAAGTTATCTGTAACCTTAGATTTGAGTCAGCACTTGTGATAGTAAATGAGTGCCATCCCTTGCTCTTGGGTTTGTTGAAAGGTATTTGTGTTCTCAGAGGGCAAAGTAAGGGTACCTGGAGTCCTGGCTCCTGAAGTAGCACATGCTGGCCAACTTTTTGGCCATGTTCCAGATTGGATATGGTCATGTGGGTAATGACCATCAAAACTTCCATAATTAGATTGCTTAGATGTCTCATCCCTGAAGTGCTGAGACCGCCTTATTTATGAGAGGTGACTGCCTTACCTTCCAAAAGAGTTATTCATTATTCCTCTTCCTTTGGACTTTCTACCTCAGGAATTGTCAGATGAAATTGAAGATTACACTCACCGCTTTAACACTGAGGACCAGGTGGAGTGGAACCTGGTTCTTCAAGAGGTGGCGGCTTTTGTTGAGGTGAGAGTGAAGGAAACTTTGGTCTCTGCAGTTTGTTGGAAAGTGTCCAAAAAAACCCGCTCTTGTTTTAAAAGTAAAACATGGGAACTCTTCACTGCAGATTGTTCTGAGGCCATGCCATGGGGAGCGAGCTAGTAAGGAACAGTCTTGTGTGCAGGTGTGTCACACACCTCTCCAGTCTGCTGATGAAATATTCTGCATTAACTGAGCTGTTAAGGAGGCTCCTGTGACATCAGAGCCAGATCTGCTCAAGCAACAGAAAGCTAGCAGCTAGTGGAAACGTGAGGTTGTGACCTGCTATCTCTCAGCAATCCACCACCTCTCTTCTTACACCTGGTGTTCAGGTGACATTGGGATCAGAACATAGCCATTGGCATAGTAACTGCTATAGAAGGTCTGCCAGCTACAGGCCCATCTTTGTGGGAGGCCTGCTTCTGACTGTATTGTTAGTAACTTCCAAATAAGTATATTTTGATGCTTGCAGTATTGGCATATTATTCTGGCAATGCATAAGCAATATGTAATGGAAAATACAGTATAATCTTAACAGTTATACTGACAGTATGTCTTGGCATAGCTGTAATATTGCCCTTTTTATGTCTTGCTACAAAGAAAAATGAGGATTTCTTCTCTAAAATAGGAGACAGTTTCCTGATCACCTCATTTGTACAATGTGTATGCACATACATGTGTACGAAGACCTATGCTCCAGTATTTAATCATTATTAGATTGAAATGCTGGACTACTGTTGGCTTGTTTCCGTCCTTATTTCTCTCTAGGAAAGAAGAGAAATGTAAATAATGCAAGTCTTTTCTGCCATGTAAAGTGTTACCAATTATCTGCATGGGCTGCATGTGGATTGCCTGCTGCGCTTGTGTTAGTGAAGTTTGTTTCCTCTGATTCTGGGAAACTAAGTCAGATGGCTTATCCTGAATGGTACGTTCTCCTTTCAACTGCACTTAAAGTGCTGCCACACAAATATTTGTGTTTAAATATCCAAGGTACTTTCTTCTAGTCCCTAAGAGCAGCTCCTTTTCCAAGCTGGAATTGCTCTGCAGCCTTAGGATATAAAAGGCGCATTATTAAGACACCATAAAGTAGTCTTCACTTCAGCTATGGGATGTCTGTTATGAGTGACAGGATATAGTCCCTTTTGCTTGTGGTCGTTGACTCTGTAGGTTTCCTTGGAATTCATGGTCTGTGCTGGTTCTCTTTCCAGGCAGATCCTGTGATGGTTTTAAATGATGACAATACCATTGTAATCACCTCCAACCGACTGGCTGAAACAGGGGCCCCATTGCTGGAGCAGGGAATGATCGTGGGACAGCTCACTCTTGCAGATGCATTAATTATTGGGAATTGCAATAACCAGGTAAAGGAGACAAGGCATTGTTTGTATGTTCAGTCTTCAATTGGAATTGAAAACAGTTAGGTTTTTTCTGATTCTACTAAAGGAAATTGCAGAGTCCAAAAGAGGCAAATATAAAATCCTTTAGCAATGATGTTAAGAGTGACAGTAAATTAGCTGAGAGTTTGGCAAAACCTGAGTGATAACCAACAAGAACTATCCTTTCTGTCCTGTTCTTTCGAGTGTATGTCCCTATGGGTACTCCACCATAGGATATGCTCGCATCCAAGTGCTCTTGACTGGAGAATGCAAAGCAGAGCAGCACTTTGTGACTCCAAATGAGGGCATATAAGGAGCCTGGACCGACCGCCACTCAGTTCTTTCTCAACCGGCTGCAGCTCAATATGGAGATATGCACATCCACTCATTCTCAGCCTCCTGCCTTACTTAAATGTAGCAATTCTTAGTGTTTCCTTTATTTGTTTTATTTTATTTCTCCTCTTAGTTTTAACACAGTTGTGCTTAGAAGGGTGGTTACTCTTCTCTGAGCTGCTTCGTCCCCCCCCCCCCCGCCTCCCCCCATATCTTTCAGTCCTCTGTTTTGGTCCATTAGCGCTCTGGGTGATGCTGAAGACCCTGGGATTTAAGTCCTGCCAGACCTGCCTCAAGTCTTTTTCACCATAGTGATGGGCATTTGAGCTGCTTCAGAGCCACCCACGTCCCATCAAGGTGTAGGGTCTGTGCAGTATTTCAAAGTAGTCCTTGCAAAGGCAGAGAGTAGGCTGAAGCACCTGCTAATGGCACACTCGGAAGCCCCAGTGGAGTCTGTTCACTCCCCCACTGTATGTCAACCTCAACATCCCAGGGTGCTCCGGTGGCTGTCGCAGCTCCAGCAGCACCTCCAGAGGCTCGGATTTCCAAGAAGAAGCCTCATTAATCCCACTCTCAGGAGACCTCACATTCCTCCAGGGGTACAGCTGGGCCTCTGTCTGATTTCGGTACCAAGCCGCCAGTACTGCACAAGAAGCAGCATGAGGAGAAGTCTTCTAATAAACAGTACAAGCAGCCATCTCCCTGGATACCGACTCGCATGTCTTGTGCACTGAGATGCATGCTGGCCTCCCACTCACGTTCCACTGTCAGGGCCTTCCCTGCACCAGAGCTCTGATGTCAGAAGTTCCTCTACAAGCCTCTCTGGTACCATGCTTTTCTTTCCAGCACAGACCCCTTCTCCAGGTTCCAGTACTGACCAGACTTCTGGATACCATAGCCCACGAGCACTCTCCACATTCCTCTCCACAGAGGACCACTTCTATAACTGGAAGAACTGGAATCTCCCCTGTTATGGACCTCTATAAACGTTCCATCCCTGGTACTGCGTGAACATCTCCAACCACAATCCTCCCAGATTGAACCCCAGCTGGACTCCAGTACCGGCACTTATATCCTATGTTTCCCCTTTCAGCCCGAGGGATGATCCTGCTTTCGATTCTAAGGTCCTGGTACAGGGCTTTCTTTTTGGCACCATACCATCACACCCCGCTGCGTCCGTCTACTGAGAGCGATCTTATGCTGATGACTTTTGGGCTTTCCAAACCCCCCTGAAGTGCCTGGCACCATCCCTCCAGATCCTGTGAGAAGAGGTCCAGGAGACTCAACACTCCTTGGTGGACATTTTAAATATCACTTCTCGAGAAAATTGTTCTCCCAATCAATGAGGCTCTGTTATTGCCTATTTGCGCAGTCTAGCAAACACCTGCTACTATCCAACCCACCTGTAAATGAGCAAGGGAATGGAATATTTGTTTTTCCTCCTCCTTCCCAATTCCCTGGAGGTGGATGCGGCTAATAGAGAAATCAACAAACCCACTCTAGACTCTCTCCTTATGATAAGGAGTCTTAGACCTGGGTAGAAAAAACTACTCCTCTGCATCTCTCCAATTTCAGGTGGCAAACTACCAAGCCCTGTGGTGAAATGCGATTTTAATACATATTCCAAGTTCACACATTTTACTGACCATCTGCCACGGGATCAGCGGGAACAATTTCAGACCCTCATTTCAGAAGGTCAGTTTATAGCTAAAACCTCCCTCTGGGCTGCCACATACCTGCCTGTGGTTATGCAAAGAGCATCCTGGTTCCAGTCTTCTGGTCTCCAGAGAAAGGTGCAGAGTATGGTTGAAAATGACCTTCCCTTTAAAGGGTCCAAGCTCTTCAGTGCTGACAGACTCAGTCATCCACACCCTGAAGGACTCAAGGGTCTCTGGGAACTTGGTTTCTGCAACAGAGACAGTTTAGTAGGTCCCAAATGTGAGCTCTTTAAACTGTTACGGTACCATCTGCAGCAGACTTTTCCCATACATTTGAGCTTTCAGAGGAGGAGATCTAGACCAGTTTTTCTCGAATGCGACCACTGTGGCCGCATGGGGCCACCAGGGACTTTTCTTGTGGCCACAGCCTCCTGGGCTGGCGGGGAGGGCAAAGTAGCAAAGCACCACTCCTGGATGCCCTGCCTTGGGGCTGCCAGCAGGGGTTGGGCCCTGACCCCTCTGAAGTCACCTGGGACACAACGCTGGAGGAGCAAGCAGCCAGTGAGTTCCCCACCTTCCGAGGGGCGGTGGGGCTCAGGCTTTGGGCTTCAGCCCTTAGGTGGCAGGCTCTGGCTGATCATTAATATTCTTGTATGTTGTGTGTACAAAGCTATACATATAGGCTAGTTATGTTCTTATGCATTGCTTGCCAAACACACTTTGGACAAAGGAATGCGTATTTGCCTGACAAGCAGGTTGGTCAGACAAGCAGAGATAATGAAGGTATACTTACTTTAAAGATAAACAAAGCCATCAAACTAGCAAGGCGGGGGGAGATATCTCTTAACTGTTAATGATGAGGATCTGAACCTCAGATGATAAGTAATTGACTCAACTGAATCCAAATTACTGTATTAAAAAATTGTATTTAGTAAGGTCTTTTATGAAAGCCTGTGACTTACTGGTGATTAATATCATAATACATATATTTTGGAAGTACTATATGAGAAATTATGGATACTTGCTGATATGCTTCAAAGTCTGTGACCAAACCCAGGGAGAAACAGATTTTCTCCTGAACTCGAGGGAAGGCAGCTATCGACCTGTCTCCGATGTAAATTGAGCAGTGTGGAATCAAAACAGGGGGAGACTTATTTACATATGAATCAGCAGGGGGATAGAGACTGCCCTGATAACACTGTGGCCCCATATCCTGTGATGTGCTTACCTGCTCTACCTCTGATTCTGAAGACCTTAAACTGCAACAGGAAAGGGATGGTTATTCTCATAACGCCATTCTGGCCAAGACAAGTGTGGTACTTGAACCTCCTTCACCTCTTTTTGGCAATGCCTCCCAGACTTTCTCTCACGAAGGATCTCCTGTCCCAGAACTCTGGGACCCTGCTCTGTCCGAACCCCCTCCCCCCCCCCGAATCTGAGAGCATGGTTCCTAGATGGTTCTTGAGCATGGAGCTAATATGTTTGGATAAGGTCTAGTCAGTTCTCCTATCTAGCAGGAAACTTAGTACTTGCAAAACTTACCTTCAAAACTAGAAATACTTGCATTCCTGGTGTTCTCTGGTGCTTGTATAGACTAAAGAGGTGTTCTGCTCTCTAAAATCCTAGACTAACTATTGGATTTGTGGACATGCTGTCTAGCAATGAGTACATTTGCCCATTATCACTGCCTTCGACGTTTTGATGGCTTCTCAGTTTTTTGCCCATCCCAGTACAGTCAGATTCCTCCAGGGCTTACATGACTTGTTTCCCTGGTATGGCCTCTGGCCCCCCCAATGCGAATTTTTAATTTGGATCTCAGTGCCCTGAGGAAAACCCCCTTTGAACTGATGGCTACCTGTTCTCTCCTCCACTTCTCCTTCAAGACTTGGTTCTTTATAGAACCTCTGAGAGAGCTCAGTGCTCTGATGGCAGACACACCATTTACTACCTTCTATAGAAATATGGTTATGCTGTAGCACATCCTTACTTCTTCCAAAGCTCTTTGGAATATCATGTTAATCAAGAGGATCCACATACCAGGAACTCAAAGCCTCATGCTTCCAGAGTGGTGGCCAGCCTACATACACTAGATGTCCAAACGGCTCTTGCCTTATACGTGGACAGGACTAAGACGTTTTGGGCCTCTCCCAGATTATTTGTAGACTGCACAGAGGAGGAAGGGACAACCGATTTACACTCAGACTCTTGAAATGGGTTTCGGGTTTCTGTTTAACCTGTTATGAATCTGCTGGGATGCAGCCCCTTCATGGAGTGACAGCACATTCCACTAGAGCGCAGTCCACATCTGTAGCTCTCCTGAAAGACGTTCCCGTAACAGAAACTTGTAGGACTGCAATTTGTCTTCTGTTCATTCCTTAGCCGAGCATTGTGCCATTTTACCTGCTTCCAGGGATGATGCTACTTTTGGTGGTGATCCTTTGAAATGTCTTGGACTGGTCTCCTTGTTGAGTTACTGCTGGGAGTCTCCTATGGTGGAGCACCTATAGGGACACATACCTGAAGAAGAGGTTAGTTATCTTGCAGTAACTTTGAGTTCTTCAAGTTGTTTTGTTCCTATGGGTGCTCTACTTCCCTTCCCCCTTTCTCTCAGCTGTGGAGCTCTGCTTCACAGTCAAGAAGGAACTGAGTGATGGCAGGTCCGTGCCTCTTGTTATATGCCCTCATTTGGAGGCACAAGGTGCTGTTAGGTGCAGCCCTGCACACAGTACTTTGCATTCTTTAGTCAAGAGTGCATGGGCACCTCCTACGAAAGAGCACCCGTAGTGACAAAACTGCTCAAACTCAAGTTACTGCAAGGTAAGTGACCTCTCCATATCAGCCCATTGAGACACACCTTTTTTTACCACTTGTATCCATTATGCTAGTTAAGAATGATCTCTCTCTGACACCTGAAGCCTGTTGTGCACATTTAAAACATGCTAGTGCTGTGTCTTTTGTGGGACAGTCTGTCTGGAGAAACCCGATCTGTTGCATTGCTTGTTATGTGACACTTGCACATATGAGGGTCACATCACAGGTGGTTAAAGAGTCCTGTGGCACCTTACAGACTAACAGACGTATTGGAGCACAGGTAATGCAACAGACGAACATCTTTTCAAAAAGACTGGGGAATTTTTCTGTCTTTAGCTAACAATGAGGTCAAGTGGTTTTCGTATCTTACCTCTATACTTCCATGTCAGCAGTGGGGTTACGAGTATCTTAACCAAATGTTGGGTGCTTTTAGACATTGTATAGTCTTGCACTCTAATCTTTTCAGTACATCGTTCAATGCTCTTACCTGGGTAATTCTTAGGAAGCAGAGTACCTATTTACCCTATGCCAGACAGGATGCATTAGTGATGGCAGCGTTCCTCTTGCAGGTAAAGTTCAGTGAATTAACGGTTGACATGTTCCGAATGTTGCAAGCACTGGAAAGGGAACCAATGAACTTGGCTTCACAAATGAACAAACCTGGAATGCAGGTGAGTTTCATTTTCAGTTGCAAACTTGGCAACAGAATTCTGTTAACTTTAGGTGATCTTCTCTCTGCTCTATACATAGAGCATGGCAGTTACGTTGTTATAACGATTATTCTGATACTTACAGAAAGGGAGTTCAAACTCTAGAGTTGGACTTGGGTAAGGATAGCTTCTCTATTATATGTGGAAGCTTCAGTCGCAAGTATTGTTTGGTTATAACGGAAAGACTTTATTTTGTTTGCTGTCCTCCCAAAAGCCCCTCTCTTTTCTTTCTGCTTATTGGACTTGCAGTTTGTCCCTCTCATTTGGGTCATCCCTGTTAGTGTAGTCTAGATATTTAGGATGCATTTTGTGTTTCATCTGTAGACAAAGGGAAGAATTGCCAGTCCTTGTTTTTTGTCGGCACACTTCACAGCAGCGTGTTGAGGTACAAATAAAATGGAAGAAAATGTTTGTCTTGGGAGAATAAAGTAAAAAACGAGGCACTAGACTGAAGCGGACGTGTGCTATATTCACATTGTGTCCTTGACGATATGGTCAAGGAGCTTTATTAAGGGATTGGGAACTAACTGAATTGGAGACTGCATTTTCTCACCTTGTTCTCTCTAAATTATAATCCAGGATAAAAGCAGGATTTGGGTGGCAAGTTGCATTGAGTTGTAAGCTTGAATACAGACTGTCAAACCGTTTCTGACATGAACTTTGTTACTGTGGTACTCAGTAGAGAATGCTACATGGGCAGACCAATACGTTGGGGAAGCACATTGAAGATGAATATTCAGATAAATGGAAATTTAAAGATAAAGCTATATTAGGAATATACATGGTGTGCTTTTTTTTTTCCAAATAGGAGTCGACTGAGAAACCTGCTAGGCGGGAAAATCCCCATAAGTACTTGCTGTATAAACCTACCTTCAGCCAGCTGTATACGTTCTTAGCAGCAGCGTTTAAGGTTTGTAAAATCAGGTGTATTTGTCAGTTGATTTTAAAAAAAAAATCTCTAGAATGGTACATTTTGCTAAAGAAAAGTGACTTGAGTCAAGAAGATCCCCCTCATTCCCCCCCCCCTCCCGAAAACTAAGCCTTTAGTAGCCTTTTTAAATTGTAAAGTAAATGGCAAAGGGTTAATCTCCATCCTCTTCATAGGATGGAAGTTTTAATGACTTCTCTGTCTGTCTCAGTGGCAGATTATCTGATCTAAATATATAAGTATCTTTACTAAGAATTCTACAAAGGTACAGTGGCTAAATTCATTTCCAGTTAATATAGCTGTAGGGCCCAGTATATTTGTTTGTACCAGCAGCAACCTGGGGATTTAGTTGCTAAAAACAACTTGTTTCTTTACAGAGGAAGCAGTCTCACAGCTGATGAGCCTAAAATGAAACTTCCTGGCTGTGTTTGGTGTTGTGCGTGCCTGCATGCTCAGTCTCTCCCCCAGAAAGCAGGGGTCTCTGATATGTCGGTGCTCCCATGCAGGGAGTGAACGGAAAGGTGGCACATGGATGCATATGAGTGTCTTGCACAGACCCATGCAGGATCCAGCACCCTGGGTTGTTTTTTGGCAAGTTGCCCAACTGAGTAGTTTTGGGATATTATTTTTGTTGTAGGCCCTTTTTTGCGGGGGAAGGAGGGGCTGGGAGCTAAGACCTCCTTCAGAATTCTGGGCCAGCTGGAGAGTTTCTTAGATTCCACGTTCCAGGAAGTCTGTGTCTCACTAGATATTAGGGAAGAGGGGATGTGCGGGAAATGGTGCTCTTACAGCCTCTGAACCCAGCGTATCACAGATATTTAAAAAGATACAGCTGAGTACCTCTGCAGCATACATCACTGTGTGTACCCATATGGATCGCTTGATTGCCTGTTCTGTTCATTCCCTCTGAAGCACCTGGCATTGGCCACTGTTGGAAGACAGGATACTGGGCTTAGATGAACTGTTGGTCTGACCCAGTCTGGCCGCTCTTATCCCAAATGCCCATTGATTCAAGAAGTGTCTGTGTAAGCGATATAGATACATGCAAAGGAGCCACATAAGGCTGAAGGGCAACTGGGGCAGGGGAATTGCACCTGTAAATACCAATGATTTTATCAGGCTGATACAGAATGTATGTTGCATGTTACAAGAAATGTCTGAATTTTCTTCCTGCCCCTTTCCTTTGCTTGAATTTCAGGAGCTGCCTGCGAACAGTGTGCTGCTAATCTACTTGTCGGCCACTGGCGTGTTTCCCTCAGGTCGTTCGGATAGTGAAGGTACAATAAAGGAATGCCCCTGTCATGAGCAGGGCTTGAATTTGCTTTATATTTCAGGATAAGTGGCCCACAGAGATCTCGCAACACTCCTTTTAAAGGACAAGTCCAATTTCATATGCCCATCTACCTACCAAGACTTGCTTTCTTTTGGACACACAACAGCCAATTCTGTGTTTAGCACACAATCTACTGACTTGAAATCTTTTCAAAGGACGACTAAGTTTTTGAAAGATCTGAAATATTAAAAATGTCATGAGTTTTGAAGATCTAGGGGTCAATTGGCCCGTCAGTGAAGAGTTATTGTAATAAAATGGTTCAACATCATCTGGCATTTCTTCCCAATCTGAAGTATCAAAATAGATGTTCAGGAAAATGGTGGTAAAGGGGCTGAAGGGGTCTCTGCAGAGATTGTTGTACTCCTTATACGTTTGTTGTAACAATTCAAGCTCTTGTCATGATTTTAATAATTCCCCTCACCTCATCTTCCCCTGTTGTTCAACCCAGCAGAATATTGGGATGCAGATCCAGTCTAAAAATCTAAAACTGGCCAACTGGTGCAAATGCAGTCAAAAGATTGTTACTTTTGTATAATACTTTAAAGGAAGAAATTATTTGAAACATCCTAAATATTGTCTGCCCTTCATCTGTTTGAGACTTGCATTCCTTTATAAGATGCATGCTTGTTCCATCCTCCTTGCATGACTTGTGAATCTTTCAAAATGCTAAAAGAAAAAAAAAATCCCTTCAAACTTTCTATTGTGGCAGTGATTTTTTTTAATTGCTTTTAACATTTTACAGTGTGGTGTAACTGGACAGTTTGGTTTTAATGATATTGTGTCCCTTGCAACCTGCTTTGTAGCTAACTTCACTGCATGCCTTGTTCTACCTTACTACTCTACTGTAGAGGCACCCAATCTTTGTCCTCCGGAGAGCTCACCAGGCAGCTTTTCAGGTCCCAGGGGCTTGCGTGATGAATCAGATTGCAGGCACGGGCGGGGGGTGGCTTTTAAATAGGAGAGTGTGGCTGCAAAAACTAAAATTCCCCGCATGTAGTGCTCTGTATTAAAAGGCGGGAGCTGCAGGTTGCATTGTTAAATTCTACAGACCAGATTTGGCTGATAGGTCACACTTAAGCCACCTGTGACAGCACTAAATGAGTTTGCTCTGTGCCTGACCCCTTAAAGCTTCTCTTACAAGTGAAAAGTAATTGTTTATTGAGGGAAGGGGTTTTTAGGTGTAGACAGGAAAGGACTATCTGCAAATGAAATACCGGAGATGAAATCCAACTGTGCAGAATTAGGAAGTCTCAGTATATATGCAATTATCCCATCAATGCTAGAGGAGTTCCATTCCTCCCACTAAACTGAGAAATATATACTTGTCTGTACCAGCACACTCTTGCAGGGACCATTGATATTTCTGTGGAGACAGCAATTTTTAAAATTTCTACACTGTCCACTAGTCAGTCAAACTGCCAGCCCAGATGCTATGCCTAGTGGAATAATCACTAAGCCTGCATCAGGACCAGACAAAAAAGAGCAACATAGCTTTGAAAAGTGGATAATATTTTATTAGAACTTCAGAAACAACAGAATTCCAAAGACTAGCTAGCCATCACTTTGGCTCTGAAACCTGACTGGTAATCTTGGATTGTCACTAGGTTTAAAAACCAACTATTCTTCAACTTATGAGCTTTGTTTACAGTGCTCCTAATAGAGCTCTGATGGCTGCAAAGCCTGGCATTATGGCTGCCCTGGAAAAGTTCAAATTTTGAAATTGATTTATCTTAACTCCTTAGAAGGACAAATTCTGATTCTAGAATGTATTGATTCAAGTGGTTTTTAAAATTAGTATTGATTGTCCTGTATGAAATACATGTAAAGTTCCTTTCTTGTCCCTGGAGATGCATCTATTGACCTAGATGTGCATTCCTTTTACTACATGGCCTAATGAGTTACAGTATATGTCTTCTACAGTGTTTTGAAGAATAAGTGAATAGTGTAGAAGTTACAACATGCTCAGTAGTATCAAACCAGAAGGTTAGTCACTGAAATTACCAAAACACACACATTTTAAGTTGCATGGCTAGTAAATTGTAAACTCTCCATAATCACTTTTTCTCGAAACTGTAGTAGTTCAGATTCATTACTTTTTTTTTTGTGCTACACCTATAATCACTCTATCCAAGTTGTGGCATGACAGCTAATCTTATCTCTTTTTTGACATTTGTAGGTCCTTATGATTTTGGTGGTGTCCTTACAAACAGTAACCGGGACATTATAAATGGTGATGCTATCCACAAACGGAACCAATCTTACAAGGAGATGCACTGGTGAGTTTCATGAGTTCAGCTCAAGGGGAAGTAAGTGGCAAGCAAGTTTTTCTTCTTGATAAAGATGCCCCAAACCCTGTTTAACTTTTTTCTGAAAAAATGTGTGCTCTTTTATTTTTTATCAAATGCATAGGTCACAAAACTTCAGAGATGGGTGAGTTTCCTGTCTGTTGAACTAGGAGTGCGAGGGCAAGAGAATGCACCCCGGAAGGAGTCAGTCTGACTGAGCTGCTTAACTTCTGTTGAGCTGTATTTACTGCCCGTCATCTCCACCTGCATCTAGATGACACTTGTCTACACTAGAAAAGTTTTTTGGTGGTGTAGCTATTTTTTACCAGTGTAGATTGCAGCTACGCTAGTGCTTGTACTGACATAGCTATCTTAGTGTAAAAAAAAAAAAGCCCCCATTCCTTCCCCAAATCCTGGATGTTCAGGAGGAACAGGATCAGGACTCTAATTGGAGCCCTTTGCTGACTGAATGGATCCATCCTTCCCTCCCCCTGTCCTGTGTGGTCAAGGGGGAGGAGAGGACCTGCACCCCTCCGGGCCCAGCCAGGAGACCACTGACTGCTCTTCTGCCCCTTGAACTGAGGCGGTAGTGGAGCCCTGGGCAGCAGCAGAACGAGGACTCCAGTTGAGTGTGTTCAACCCAGGAAAGAGCTGGGTAAGGATCAGACTGCTTTTCCGTGGGGTCGTAGCCCCAAATCATTAAGGGCTTGATGACCTCAGGGGCTCTCACTTTGTTTCTGACATTTGGGGTTCAGGTAGACTTACTCCCCTAATAGAGGGTAAGATAACTATGAACTGGTGAAACACTGGCTGATACCTCTGCTGCATACTACCTATGAACATTCCCATTCTCTCCCCCCCGGTTATTTTCCTGAAAGGCTAGAAAAGATTGTTGCCTCATACTTAGGACGCTACCAAATTCACGGTCCATTTTGGTCAATTTAATGGTCATGGGATTTTAAAAATAATAAATTTCATTATTTCAGGTACTTAAATCTGAAATTTCAGTGTTGTAATTGTCGGGGTTCTGACCCAAAAAGGAGCTGTGGGGGGGGTCACAAAGTTATTGTAGGGTGGTTTCAGTACTGCTACGCTTACTTCTGCGCTGCTGCTGGTGGGGGGCTGCCTTCAGAGCTGGGCACCCGGCCAACAGCCACCCAGCCCTGAAGGCAGCGCAGAAGTAAGGGTGGTAATACCACTACCCCCCTAAAATAATGTTGCAACCCCACTGCAACTCCCTTTTGGGTCAGGACCCCCAATTTAAGAAATGCTTGTCTCCCCTGTGAAATCTGTGTAGTATAGGGTAAAAGCACACAAGACCAGATTTCACAGTCTGTGACATGTTTTTCATGGCCATGAATTTGGTCGGGCCCGACTTATACTAAATCATCCTGGATGTCCACTGTGTTTTCCAGCTATTTCTAATGTTTTATATCACCTCTTTAAATCCTCTCTAGTTTGGGGCTAATACTCTGTGGGTGACTGCAAAAAAATTTCCGCTTAAATATTCTGTTTGTTTTTTCCTGTAAAGTGAGCTACAACTTGAGTATTGGGCTGCCTTGTTCCATCCTACTGTTATCCCTTTGATGTGGGCAGCTATGTGCCTAGGGAGAAACCTCCTCGCTCAGAGCAGGACAGTATGACCTCTGTACAGCTTCACAGAAAGTTCTAGTGCTGTGTGAATTGTCTCATCTTTCTCTTTTTTAGCCTTCACCCTGGTGATCTCTACCCTTTCACAAGAAAGCCCCTATTTATCATTGTGGACTCCTCAAACAGTGTTGCCTATAAGGTAAGGTTTTTGAAAACAGACGTGTGGTGGAGTACAGTGCTTACAGGTAGTCTACAGTTTAAACAAACCAACTATAAATGGGTTGTATTTAGTCTTTTCTGTCGAGGTTGTGCATGCTGGGCAGGATCTGATCTTTTGAATAGGAACAAGAACAGAAGCACATGAATGGCCGCTCATTGGAAAGTAACAAATCCTCCTGGAGTAAAAAAAACAGTTTAAAATTGGGACTGGTGGGAGGTTTATTTTTGTTGTATATCAAAGATAGTTTCTTTTTTGGTGGGGATTACTTCATCTGCTTTTCTACTCCAGATATCTAACCCTCCTACTCTGAGCTGCTTTAAATGGCAGAAAAGTGTCAATGAATAGAGTTTTGCCTTGTAAATAGATGTGTTCATTTATCTGAAAAAAAAAATCTGAATGAGAAAAAAAAAATGAGAAATTAAAAGACAAATGTGCTACAAAAATCAGATATACATTTAGCATCTCCTCTTGTATAATATGTGCTAGAAAAATGACAAATTCCTGTAACTGTTTGCTGTAGAGACATAGTAGAATTATTCAGTGCCAAATCCTCATTACCTGAATTGTAGATTGTTAATGTGGAAGCAAGTGTGATTAATTCCAGAGGCACCAATCACCTCTGGATGACATTATTTCATTAATGAATGTAATGTTCAGAAACATGCTGGGTATGCAAAACTGTCACTTCCTGATGCCTTCCTCTTACAACTTGACTTATTTACAATTAGACAAATGGACATATGCAGCTGTATTTCTAAGGAGCATTAGGGATGTCTAGTGGCCAAATATGCTTGTTCTCTCTCCAGTGTCCATTGTCTGTTTCACCTGTTTAGAGAGGGGTGATAGAGAACAAGACTCAGCATATCAGTAATCATATAATTCAAAATGAGTCTGTCATCAATTTGGGAACACTTTGACCTAAATGTTGTAACACTGCACTGCTTTTCTCTAGTGCCTTTTTGTCAAAGCATCTTGAAGGATTTTGCTATCACTAATGCAACTGGTTTCACCATGATGCTTTGCTTGTAGATATTATCCCAATTTACAGAAAGGAGGATAAATTATTTGATCACAGCCACAAGGAAATCGGTGACAGAGATGGAAATAAACCCAGATCTCTTTATTTTCATTCCAGCTTAGCCACAAGAGCGTTTTTCCTCCCTTCCTGTTACGGCTTCTGAAAAAACATGTAGGCCTGGTATGGGAGAGGGCAGAATTAGGGAACCTCGATACACCTGCAACTCTGGACATGCATGTTCTCTGCCCAGGGGATCTGCAGGTGGAGGTCATGGATTCCCTCATTTGGGCATGCATCTCTCATGAGTCATAAACAATATTTTTGGAAGTAAGTTGCTTTGTAAACTCAGGAATAACTCGGTCCTATCCAAGTGGAGACTGTAGAATTTCTATGCGTAAATAAGACAAACACCTGTCTTGGCCTGAGTTCTGCTCCTCATTTTACTTTGTTTGGTCAGTGATCCAAACCTCTAACTTCTTATCCAGTACATTAGTTGTTATGCCAAAGCTCACGAACCAGCCAGCAGAAGAAAAGAGCAGAGAGAAACCTCTACCCCCAGCTTGTGTGCAAGGGGAAAAGTGGATACTTTGGTCTTCCTTGGAATTGTGTTAACTGCTAGGAACTTGTAGGACATTGGTGATTAGATGGACTCCATTGTTTGTGACTTTCTGGAGAGAACTCAGGAAAGTTAGTGTGAGCGTTTGAAATAGATTTCCTGAAGTTCAGACATGAGGTCCTTAACACTGTTTACAAAACTATCGCCATTCATAAATATGTATATAGTTTTCAATGAGAGGCAAATAGTGGAGTACCCAGCTGTGGTAGTGTTTCCCAGCCCTCGGTAAATGCAAGTCCCATGTTATTGCTCTGCAAGTGTGCTTGGTGACTTGCAGTAAGAATATGTAACTAGTGCTGTTGGCAAATGTCCCTGGGTGAGTTGTGAGTGGAGATGAAATGCTTTGTAGTCAGAGCATGTCAGCGCAGAGAGAGGTTCTGTGCAACTGTGTGAAAAGTCAGAGCCAGTGTAGTGACTTCTTTCCACGCTACTGCTCTGATCCTTTCAGAGAGGACAGTCGCTAGTTTGACATTTAAATGGCACTACTTAGCCGTATTGACAGTAACATGAATTGCTCATAGTACTTCTCCCAAAAGCTGCTTTCTGCTCATGTGCACTCTGTCATTCCTTCTTCTCCTGAAGAATTTAAATGGTGATGACAGGGAGGGAGTCCTGCCGTGAAGTGATGTCATGCTCTTAGAGAGACTCAGCACCTCTGTGAAATACTCTACTCGACTTTGGACTGGCCCTCTGAGGGATGTAGGCACTGTCCCTTATTCCTTAGCCAGCAGAGGTTATCTCTAGGAAAGGTGTCTGGTCTTAAAACATTTTTGCATCCACGGTCTTAGGAAAAAGGAGACCTGCTAATAGGTCTTGAAAAGAAAACGTTCATTTTCTTGTATCTCTTCTCCATCAACGCAGCATGCATAGTCACACTGAACAACATGCTGTAGAAATATCGCCTGGTTCCTCCTCAAGCAGGGCACTTAAGCAAGAGAGCTGACCACTGTGCTCTTATGGAGGTAGAGTGGGAGGCAAAAAGGATAGAGGAATGCCTCTGATATTTATATCTGGGTTGTACCCATCCAAAGCTGGGGATTGCTTTATTTAGGAACATTTAGTAGGTGCCCATCACCATGACAAGTGTGCACTTTGCATGGCTTAGATTGAGTAATTAACATTATAAGAGCTCCTCTGCAGCTCAGTTTTTCCACAGGGACAGAGGAGGAATCTGGCCAGTCAGTTGTGAGAGCAGGTTTTCATAGTTAGTCCACTGGAGAAACCTGGACCAAGAGTCATCTTGCAGCTCTTTCTAAGTAGAGACAGGTTTGTGCTTCACTGTTTCTATTGGGGGCAAGCTCCAGAGGAGCAGGCTGACTACCAAAAGTGCTTTGTCCTCATCTCCTGCGAGCTCTCTTGTGTGCCAGTGAATGTAGCCTGTAGGGTGGGTTGGAAGTGCAGTGATCTGGGCCTCTGCCAATTAGAGAATGCGGAATTTGGAATCGAGGAACTGGGGTATCGTCATATCTTATGTCTGGAGAAGGCAGAAAAGCCTATCTAGAACAAATGCATGTGAGTCGATTTTATACCACATAATGGGAAGCAATTAAGTAATTACACAGAGGGCTGAGAGGGATGGTAGAAGGCTGAGCCAGCTGGTATAATTTGGCTGAGACCCCAATCTCCAGACTACTGTCTTCTGGTACCACAGGACTCTCCATTATTTTCTGTGGGTGCTCCTCCATTGCCTGGAACTTCTAGTTGGTCTTCTCTATTTCTGTTCAGGGTTCTCCAACATATCCCTTCAGGAGCCCATTCTTAGACAGTCATAGGTAAGATCAGGTTCCTAATCAAGGGTAGCAGAACCAACCCTGTATTCCACCCCCCTTCCATATTGTGCCCCCCCTCCACCCCGTCCCATGGCTATACTCTGGACTGCCTATTGATGAGTTTGCCAGACCATCGGTACTCTCCTCCATAGGGAGGCCAGAGTTGCACAGCCCTCTCCTCCCCAACTGGCCCACCACTAGGAGGAGACTTTTGAGGAGCAGAAGGCCAGGGCAGATAATGAAGCCACCGTCAAACACCTGTTTCATCCTCTTCTCCAGATGAGGCAGTTATGCCTCTGCCACCATCCAGGGCCGATGATCTTCGGAAATTTCCAGACCTCACAAAGAGGTAGCTGGCGCTCTTCTGATTCCTCTCCTTGAGGTCAGGGATTTGCAGCACAAGCTGCTGGATATCCTGCAGTCAGCAATACCCTCCAGGGTGGTGTTACTTATCAGTCAGGCGCTCCTGGACGTGGAACACCGAGTCTGCAGGCCCGGGTCACAAAGCCCCAAGCTTAGTGGGCTGTGTAGACATACCCCTGGAGTTCTAAATGGTTCCTAAATAGCAGGAGTAGCTAAATATACTGACTCTATGCATACAACAATCTTCAGAAGTTTGAGAGCTGGGGCCCCACTGCCGCTGAAGCCCTGAGTCGCCCCCCCCCCCTGCTGGGCAGAAGCTATAGGCGATATGTATGTGGGGGGTCATGTGCCCGTGCCCCTCCCCCTCATGTTTTTGCCAGGGTTTGCTAGTCCCGCTCATTGGAGCTGGCAAGCTGCGGCCATGGGGAAAGACAGCAGCAAACAGCAGGGAGAGTTGCTGCTTTTGCTGCTGCGTCTTCCCAGGGAGCTAAGGTAGCGGCCGCTCCCTGCTGCTCCCAGGGGTTTGCTGCTGCCTTGCCGCATGGAGCCAACAGCTGGGAGCTGCAGGGAGGGTCCTCTGAGGATAAGGGGGATTTGCCTGAGGGGGCATGACTCGAGCTGTTGGGGGGGGAGGGCGTTAAATTGTGTGCGTCGCCACGCCCCCCCCCGCCCTTCATCTCTAGCAGAAGCTCCTGAACCCACCACCTGGCCACAGGGCAGAAGCCCAGAGCTTTCCCTCCTCCCCGCTGTCCCCAGTCTGGGAGGTGAAGAACGGGTGGGGTGTCTGCGAGCTGCACTGTAACTGTAAAAGAGCCACGTATGGCTTGTGAGCCGCAGTTCAGCCACCCGTGCTATATAGTTCAATCGTATCAGTTTCTTTTTGCCTTGCAGTCATCTGCACAGTAATAGTTTCTGATGATTCTTCATTAGACACCAAAATCTTAATATCTAGTCCATAAATCTCACTTGGGCTCTTCTTGGAACAGAGCTTTTAGCCTAGTCAGTATTTTTCTAGGCATGGGAAATGTATATTACTTTGATTAGACCTGGCCACTGTTAGTATTTTGACATGTTTAAAAGGAATTAGTTTAATTAAAGTACTTTTGCAAGGAGTTTAAATATCAGCTTGTTAGGCAGAAATCAGAAAGAATCCAGAATTGGGACCTCCCTTCTTTTTTGAGCTGAGGGACTGATGGTTCTACAGTAGGTAAATGATCCTTTTGGGGCTTGAACCCAAGATCGTTAACATGCATTTTAGGTTTATAATATGTAATCTGAAGGGAACTATGAATTGCACTGAACCGGCCGCTGTTTCATTAGTGTGAATGTGTGCGCTGGTGTCATACCGACATCCTGATCTCTCTCTCATAAGGCATTGCAACTCTTCAGTTTTAGAAAGATTGCTAGCAGGAAAAGAACAACTCAGATTAGTAACTAAACTGGACAAATGTTTCATGACCTCTTTTTCTATAAGAAGTAGATTCTAGAATGCATCTTCTGCTCCTTGTGTGTGTCAGTGTAGAACAATGCAGTGCTCTGAATTGCAGATGAATTCTTGTAAAATATGGTGTGCTTTTACTAATATTGAAGGAAAATTGATTAAGCAATTAACTTGAAACAGTATTTTCGCATAGCAGCTGCTTAATGGTTCACATTTGTTTTTAAATGGAGCCAATTTTAATACTCATCCTACCTGTGGCTGTCCTATTCCAGTGTGAACAGTCCTACTGCTAGGAAAAAGCAATACTTTTACCTTCATTGGACAGCCAAACTAATGGCAAGGAAAGTAATTGAAAGGGCTAATCCAGGTTGGTCTTTGGCCTGAAAACAAACAAATTTGTTGTTTGGAGTACAGAATATGTTATTAAAGTAAGTCCATTACGGTGATGGGTTACTACCTAAAAGCAATTTGTTTCTATGAAACTAGTGCCTACTTTCAGTTATTGTGTGTGTCCCTTCCTTCCCCACTCATCCCCTCCTTAGTTGTATGTATTAAACATATATTGAGGTTCCAACCAACAAGATAAAATAACAACTGATGTTTTAACTGTTCTGTTACAGAATTTCACAAACTTATTTGGACAGCCACTGGTGTGCTTGCTTTCTCCAACAGCGTATCCAAAAGCATTACAAGGTACAAAGGGGTTGCCTTTCCTCACAGCTTCACTTGTATTATTTTAAAAAACTTAACATTTATCAGCTTCCAAAATGATCACCTTCTGATTCTTTCTCTTCACTTGATGATGACCCCAGCCGGGGGTGAGCAGTGCTTGAAGCGGTGTAGCATGCCCAGAGTTTACTGACAGTTCATGACGAATGACTTTAACATGGCATGATTCAGCTGGAGTCTGTCCAAGCAGCTTCACCAAGTGCCAGAGAGGAAACTCAGTTTGCAGGAGCAGAGACCCAGAAAGTTGCCATCACAGTGCTGGGGTCATAATTCACTTTTTCTATTAGCATTTGAGAGAATTTTTACTACAAATGGAATGTCACTAAGATAATGTTGCCCACTCTATTCCAGGAGCAGTTCTAAAGGCCAGCTGTAGAATCTGCATCAATATCTAGTCTGCAGAATCTCTCTGGCACCAGTGTAGATTTTGGAGGGTTTCTTAAAGAAAACAATTAGTGCATCTCATGGGAAAATGGGTTTTCAGAATGGGCAAGTCAGAGACCAGAATACTTCTGCCAGTTTCTAGGTTAAAGATGACCATGGTCAGATTCCCATCTGCCTTTTTCCATTAGAACAGAGTTTACAGTGTGGCCTGCACTATGGTCAGGAGGTCTACTTGTCAGAGTTTAACGGAAACAACTGCAGCCATTACTTTAGGTAGCAAAATAAATATTTGCTAAATAAGAATATATACGTATTAACTTTCCAATACCTGTAACTGTGAATGGTTCTGGTGTGTATCTGTGAGGGCTGCCAATTTTACCGCTACTTCCCAGCATGAAGTCCAGTCTGCTGACATAGTTTGAGACACAGGAAGTGGTGCTCAGCAAATGAATGCATGAGAGAAGCTGGAGACTTCACAATTGCTTTAAGGTAAGTTCTATTATTTGCTAGAAATTTTTGAGTAGAAAATATTAAAAGTTTTTTGTTCAAGTGAAAACTGTTAACAAAGAGGAATTCGGATTAAATAATAGAACTTACCTATTAAAACAATGTCTCCAGTGGGGTTCCTGTTTAGTGTTAGTAATGCACCCGTAAATATCTGTTGTAACTCTGTTAAGACACTGACCAGTGACCAAAAGGGGGTTCCCACAGTAAAAGACTTCTCTAGCTTCTCTTCTTTCTGTTGTAAGCTGTTAAATAGAGCCAGCAGCACTCCCAAGGAAAGGAGTAGGTTTCTGGAGAGTAACTGGAAAAAACAAAGGGGCATTATGTCTGTTTTGGGTGGGGGACCATATATATCCAAGTGTTGTGTTGCTTGCCTACTTCTTACCAGACCAAAGACGTTTCTATGGGTTTTTGGTAATGCTGATAAACTGTAAAAGAAAGAAATGTTATATGGTGGGTTCAGTTATGATCTTCTTATACAACATCTTACATTGTAAGATGAACACTAATTGTATTAAAACCATGCACAGAACTGGAAAGATCTAAACCACTCAGAAGTATGTGGGGTCTCCTGTGCTCCCATCATGCACATATCTCTCATGAACCTTGACTGGAATTAGTGAGTGCATCACCAGGAGAACTGGCCCCCATCATAAAGGCTGGGAAGATCTTTCCATAAACACGGCAGGTTACTGCCACAGTTGGAGAGGAATGGAGGGGTCCAGGGGTCTACTCTGGCAGGGACAGCGCTCCTGTTTCACACACCGAATGCATCATGTTGTTGTTTATTATTGGCTTTTAGATCAGTCTCAGCGGGGTAGCCTCTTCACCCTCTTTCTGAACAATCCTTTAATGGCATTCCTATTTGTCTCTGGATTATCAAGCATGCGCAGAGGATTGTGGGAGAAGTGTCAAGATTACCTTAGAAAAATCAACCGGGATATCGCCCAGCTGCTGACCCATTCTCGCTCCATAGGTATGTCCTTAAAGACCTACACACACTCAACAGAAAACTTACTGGCACAACTTGAGCTGGGTTTCTTTTCTGTTTCTCAATGCTCAGCTGTGCCAAAGAATAATACAGTTTGTGGGTGAAATACACAGCTATTCCATGTGATGTTTTCCCAAAGGTCTTTTGCCTCAAAAATGCCTTTCTGAATTCAGTTTTCTTTAAGTGTCACCTTCTTCCTCTGCAGATCAGGCATTTCTTCAGTTTTTTGGGGATGAATTTCTTCGTTTACTTCTAACAAGATTCGTCTTCTGCTCAGCCACCATGAGGATGCACAAAATTTTCCGGGTATGCAGGGAACTTTCCCTCTGAGAAAGAGTCACCAGACAAATTCTGTTTTCATGCAAAATTGCCTTGGTTGGGGGTTAAAGGGATTTTCTATCTAACTTCTGTGGCTCTTCTGCTCGTGGGCTTCATTAATACTGCTCATAAGGACTCCTCACATGCTTAAATGAGTATTCATTAATGTATGTGTGAAGCATGTAACGGGTAATGTTAGCTATTCTTACAGGTGGAAAGGCCTTTGTATACAAATGATCAAAACAAGTTTTAACAATATAGTGCATCTGTCTTCTGTTTCCATGTAGAGCATGAAACAATTTATCTGAGTTTGGACACATCCCTCCATTTCTGAAATACACATTCTAGTATGGAGCCTGTTCACGTACATATTCATTTATATAGCACTGTAATTGTACACAGCTGTGTATACTAAGAGTGCTATGTCAAAAAATATAGTCAGAAGACCTCTTGGCACACAGCCTGGAAAGTTTATAAACAAGAGTGGTGGGTGGGCTTTCAAATTGGAAAGCATCACAGAATTCATGATTTCCAAAGTGGGGTGGGTGGGTGGGAGTTTTTGAGGAGTGTGAGGGTGCCACACTTCAGGAAAGATATCGACAAACTGGAGAGGGTCCAGAGGAGAGCAACAAAAATGATAACAGTTTGGAAAACCTGACCCCCTGAGGACAGGTTTAAAAAAAACTGGGCACGTATAGCCTTGAGAAAAGCCGCAGGGAGGAAGCTGGTAAGTCTTCAGATATGTTAAGGGCTGTTATAAAGAGGAATGTGATTAGTTGTTCTCCATGTGCACTGAAGGAGGACAAGAAGTAATGGGAGATTTAGGTTAGATATTAGGAAAAACTTCCTAACTCTAAGGGTAGCTCAGTTTTGGAGTAGGCTTCTAGGGGAGTCTGTGGAATCTCCAGTGCTGGAGGCTTTTAAGAAAAGGCTGGACAGACACCCGCCAGGGATGATATAGATTTACTGGGTCCTGTCTCACTGCAGGAAGCTGGACTCGGCCTCTTGCAGTCCCTTTTAGCCCTACACTTCTGCGCTTCTGTGACCTTGAAGCCTGCAGATCATTACAGTGGGCAGAAAGATGGTTCCTCTGTTGCCAGGAATGAAGTGTTGCCTCTAGGATTACGCGATTATACATGTCCACTGTGAAGTATACTGTGGATGTTGGCGCACAGATCTAACTTACCTGCTTGCTGCTTGAGCATTGCAGAAAAATATTATTAGCAGTGTATTCAGCACATGTATAAAATCTCCTTCTTTGGCCTGTTCTATTTTAATCATGTGTTCACTTAAACACACCTGGCCATCTTGGGTTAATGAGGCTTTGCTACTGCCACAGTCACCTGTAGGTTGCCATAATTTGAAAACGAGGCCACTCCCTGTGTGTCAAGGCAGATGGCTGTGAAGATCAACTTCATCATTTCTGCCAAGATCTGGCCACTTTTGTGGCCTGTCAAACAGATCAGCGTGTGTTTTTTAATGAATTGTCTTTTTATACTTTTTGTTCTGTACTGTTAGATTATAAAAATAATTGTACTCTTTTTCTCTTCATCTAGCAGGAAACTCGAAATTACCCTGAATCTTATCCCCAACTGCCACGAGATGAAACCGTGGAGAACCCTCACCTCCAAAAACACATTCTGGAGCTGGCTTCCATCCTGGATGTTAGAAATGTGTTCCTGGAAAACACCATTGATGACTATTAAAAGAAACACTTCCTTACTGCAACAGGATTTGCCTAGCCACAGACTTTGAATGGTGCAGTTTTCTAATGTGAAAATCCACAAAAGGAGTTACTTGATTTTATTTTAAAATTTGGGATTTTTTTTCTTTTTTTTAAATTAGCCCAGCTGCCCCATTCTGTATGGGGTCAATTTTATAAACGAATCTTTTCACATCTTTTAAATGTTAAACTAAGGAATCCCTGGAGTTTTATTTTTGTTTTGGTGGTTGAAAGCAACCATATCTAGATCCTAAGCATAAAAATATTATTGGTCAATTTTAGCCCACTTTATGGAAATCCTTTATTTTTATACAGTTTTAAAAAATTGGAAGCAAAAACCCAATAGAAAACCAATATTTTATCCCCAAAGAGTTTGGATTTGAAATGATAAAGCTGGAAACACATAATGCAAACCAGCAAGAGCAATAAAAGAAACAGCCCTTCATAACAAATATATTTTTTTCAATCTTAGGTGAGTAATTAGACAAAGTTGTGCTAGAACAAATGGCAGTTGGAGCAGTGGGTTTGGAGTGATGCTGCAGAGGGATCTCCTGACATCTAGTGTTCCATGTAAATTAGTAATTTAAATCTTCTACTGAGCAGCACTTCTGGCCAAGAACACAAGTCCCCTCCTGCCTGCTTGGGTGTAGATAGCAGGCTGGTGGCATATATTACAAAATTAACAAACTTGGCCCCATTTCCTCAGTATAGCAAGGTCTGTCACACCTCCATGTCTTGTCAGAGCCACCACCCTTTTGGTTGAGGATGCTGGTCCATAACTCCTCTTGAGTCAGTCAGTAGAGCTTCTTAATCACCGGGGCAGGGGGTGGAGGGTGTCTCCCTTCTTACCTCGTAGAGTGAATGAAGTGAGTGGCTTCTGCAGTATTCTCAGCCCTTGGTGAGTCTCTGCCTGGAAATCAAACCAGTCTCCCATAGTAGTACTGAGTTCCAGCCCTTCCCAACAGAGAAACACCTGGCAGGAAGCCTCTTGGGGTTGGTGTGCTGTTGCCTGCTTTAACAATGGGATGATCTTTCATGGGATCCTTGTGACCCTAGAAGTGCTTTTTTCTTATGTTATAATGGTTAATAAGTGCTGCCACAGAGCACTGTAGCCCTTCATGAGTATGGTGAGGGCCCATCACTCCACCCCACTCCCTACATGTCTGCTCCAAGTCCTGCTCTGACAGCATTTTTCAAATGAGCCACTGGGAGGCTGAGCAGAGGGAAGGTGTGTGAGGCACATAGTCACCAATAAACCCCAAAACACAGCTAGTGGGGATTGGTTTATAGGTATCACCGCTTCTGCTGTGCCCCTTTAATTGCACAGTTATTCCACCCAGACCTAGACAATATCCAGCAGGGCTCTATAAAGTCTGCATCAAGGAACATAATGATTTGTACGAAATTCAAAGCTAAGGTAGAGAAGGTGTTTGCTGGAGAAGTAGGAGGGTAAAGCTACCAAAGCAATGCCCTCCTAGCTTCAGAACAGGCTCCAGGAGCTCTTGCACCCCTTTACAGAAAGGAGGCATGGAGGAGGGAAGCACTGGAACAGTAGAAGGATTTTGGCTTCTATGAAGCAAATGTTCTAAACACCCAATCTAATAGCCTGTAGACACTCAGCTTTGAGACTGGCTCCACTTCAGTTGCTGGCAGTGTAAAAGCCAGCTTGTCCCAAAGCCAAGACTGAAGCACAACTGATTTTTGTAGGCTCCAGTGTTTGGTTTTTAAAGATCTGTAAAATGAATAGTGGGCTTTTAACTGAAAATACTCATTCTACCAAGAAGGTGTTTACTTTAAATCCAGTGAAAGGCAAGTCTATGGAGATATGGATTGTAATTTTTGTATCTGAAATTGTACAACAGATTGTCAAATGGCCTGAAATGACAGGTCTAGAAATAATGATAGCAAAGCAAACTGTGGTCATCTTGTTTCTGTGTGAATATAAGGTGTATGGTGCTGGAAAGGCTGCCTTTTGGCTTTTTGTTCTGCATGGCTGTATTGCTGTGTGAAGTGAAGTCCCGTGGAGTGCTCCCTGTACTGTAATGCCGAAACCTGTAATGGAGCAAGGACACCATGCTGGACTCTGTTGTGTCCTTACAGAATGTAGTATATGGTACCACAGTGGGAATGTTTTAAGCTGTTACATGAAAGCGGTTTTGTTCTGCGTTCATTGTACCAATGCTGGAAAATGGGGAGGAGTCTGAGTAGCCCTTTAATTTTGAGGTCTAGTCCAATGTTTCAATTTTTAAAATGAGTTTTTGGTAGCTTCCTTACCTTGGAGCCTACTTCAGTGGGCCTCTTCACAGAATCACATAGTGATGTGACCATCTTCTTGTTTGGAATAGCCAGGGGCTGAGGGTGCTACAGGTCAGGATTGGTGCCCATCAGCACTGCTGTAGGGGAGTCCAGTCAGAACAGCAGTGGGTGTTACAGAGTAGGTGGCAGGCATGAAGCTTCCATAGCACTTGCTGGCACTGGGCTGGGCTGTAGCCAAGTCCTTCACTCCCATGGGCACTACAAATCAATGGAACATTATGAGAAGAATTTCTTTTAGCAGACCTCTAGTTGATGATGCAGTTCTTTTCTGTGGAGCTGTGGTTCTTCCGTCACCCTTCTTTGAGATTGAGTTTATTTTAAAATAAATATGTATATACTCAGTGTTTGTGTGTTTATGTACAGTACACACCCACCTACCTGTTGGGTGTGCTTGTAAATATGTATAGATATTTGTATATAGGAAGGTCTTGAGATAATAAATGTATATATAAATATTATATATACACACGTACGCCAATTGGATTGCATTCTATGAGGGTGTTTTAGAAGCATTATTCAAGATGCTGTAGTTAAGTTTGTGATTGCATTACATTGTAATCCTCTATTTTCAGGGGCTTATGTTTGGTAAATAAAATAATTTGGGGCTAAAACTAGGTGCAGCAGGCCTCATCCAGTGAGCAGGGGGGTTTCTTTTACAAATGTAAATATTCCAATTCACACTGAAATTATAGTAATTTTGTGACGTGAACCAACAGAATCCCGGAAACGTGAAGCTTGAGGCTGATTTGCCCTTTCCCATGGGCATGAAGTCCCAATCACACAATGGAGTGTTTGCATTAATGTTTAGTTTTTCTTTTGTCATAACTTTCATGGAGCATCCTTTGTATGCAGATGTGTAGGGGAAGCCATGTAGGAATATGGAAATCTTTGTAGTCGCAGCACAAAGGGAGGGAACACAGCATCTGTGTTACCTTCCCCCTCCTGCACTTCAACATTAAATAAGCTAGAAGCTCAGTCCCAAGTCACTGCACTGTGACTGTAATGAAATCCCATGTTTAGCTTTGACTGTTGTGGTTCCATTTCACTTCCCTGCAGCTGGGAATAGCATGTGTACGTGAGCTTGGAAGAAAAGATTCCATTAGCATGCCCTCTTTGTGTCCTGGTGAACCCTTGTGGAATGTGGTTTGTGAGCTGATGGGGAAGCCCTGATGCTTTTCTTCTGCTCAGCCTGGATGAAGAAGAGTCTCTCTGCTTATGGTGCATCTGTGTGACTTCTATGTCTACAGGACCAAGTGATGTATTTGGTCCTCCCTCCCCATTAGCTGGAGTTTGCTGTAGGTCCAGTCAGACAGGCACATGAAGAGAGGACTGGTAGAAGAGGCTGGTTTAGAATCTGAAAAGAATGAGAACTTTAAGTCAAAATCGAAACATGTCATCTACTCGGCCTGAATCTAAAAAGTCAGAGATGCACTTTTTAAAGGAGTCTCTTATTCCCTTCTTTGCTATTCTATCATATCTGGTTGGTCTTGTTCAGAATTCTTGCTATTAATCAAACTTGACAACAGGGATTTTCAAAGAGTGAACTTCATTTATCTTGTTCCAACAGTTTGTCCCATTCAAACTTACTTTAACTCATCCATTGTAAATGGTGGATTCTCTGTTACTTGGACTTCAGTAACTCAGCCAGGGACTAAGCGGTCTATTCCAGGAGTAGGTGGGTGGGTGAAGTTCTGTGGTGTGTAATGTGCAGGAGATCAGAAGGTACCATCATGTCCATGTAGTTTGACCTTAAAGTCTGAGTTGTCCTCAACATGTGTATACCTACTGTATGCATAGGCACGTGGATATCGTTGTGGATACCTCTGTGTACATACAGCACGCTTGTACATAACAGAAAAATGTTCTCCTGTTCATTTCACGTTCAGAAATCCTCACGGCTAGGAAGTGAATAGTAGTGAAAGAAAGATTGATCTGGGAGGATCACAGTTATGAGAGAGGCATGGGAGAAGTAATGGACCCACTCTTGTCAGACCTTTTTTAAAAAAACAAACACACACAGATGTTTCACTTGCTTACAACAGTGGAGAGAACTTGCCTTCCAAGTGCAGGAAAGGTCCTATGAAGACAGCAAGCTGAGCCTATAATGTTTAGAGGAAAATATGCAAACTTGACTAAGTGCCTGCTTTGCAGATTTCTTCTGTCACAGCTCCTACGTTCTGCCTATGATAACATAGTGGGTATGGTGTAATTTACCTCCATTGGTGGCAACCCTCTTGCCTTGTATTCCTCTGCTATCTGGGCTTTAAAACATCTGGCCAAGGTTACTGTTGTTGCCTTTTTTTTTCTAGGTGTCTCAGCTTAACAGCAACAAACAGGGCTGTGAAGCTTCTTATGAATTCAGTAATTTCTAACCCCTCCAAGTATAAAAAGGTGCCACCACTTTGCTGCTTGTGGATTAGACTCTGACAGAAATGAAGGTGCATGAACACCTGTGAAAAATTGAGTTGGACTCTGGAATGAATTCTGGAGAAGTCTCAGGTTTTGTCCTGATGGATTTAAAATAATGTTTGGCAAATAGTGCTGAAGTAATGGCTACTAGGAAACCTTTTGAGGGAGAGAAAATGAGGATATTTCTCTCCTAAGAGTCAAATGGAGCATATAGGAATGGGAATTCAGGCTTCAGCAGGGGCCCTTGTTAATCTTTGGAGATCTTAAAATTTTAGCAGCTCTGTAAAAACTGACCCTGTGAGGATGGGAGGAGATGCTAATACCTGTGTGTGAATCTATGGCTGCTCTTTGTATTGTGAGGGCGCATACATAGAAGCCCAAATTCCATACAAAGTTGCAGATATTGGAGAGTGGAAAAGGCTTCATGGAAAAGGCTTGATTCCTTTATCCTTTCATTAGCATCAGAACCATATCCAGACTTGTACATAAACCTTTGAACCAAACTCCTTCCTGGAAGTTAAAAACCTGTGACCTCTCTGAATAGCCCTTCTGTCTTAATACTTTTCTTAAATAGGCTTTGTCTACCCTAGACTTTCTCACCATTAAAACTCAGTAGTGGTAGCAGTGGTATACTAGAAGCCTTAATATAGAGTTGGCAGGACTAGGCAACATAGCAGTTAAAACATTACAATTGATCCATACCAGGGCTCTCTCCAATGCTACAACTGGTAGAGCTGCACCAATAAGAACCATGGTAATCTTATGGGAAAAGTCTAGTACAGACCATGCCATCAAACTTAGTGCAGCTGGACTGTGGTACAGTCTGGGTCTGTGTTTGCGGATGCTGTGTGGAGGCTTGGAGGATTGTCATAATGGGGCCTCTGTATTGCCATTGCTCTTCAGACCCTTCATCTTAAAAAGACCCTGCCTTGTTGTTTTGTAACTCCCCCCCGCCCAGATGAAGAGAGTTGAGGATTTCTGAATTAGAGTGGTCTTTCAGAAGATTGAAGGAATCAATTTCCATTCCTTCTCAGTCTTTCTGCCAGTCAGCTGTCTTCCTGTAGGTGCATTGCTCTTAGATCCCAACTTCACCTCCTGCTTTTGAGACTTGAGCCACAGACTTCAAATACTGCTTACTTGTTCAGTTCAGATACTGAAGCAGTTTTCAGATCTTATTCAGAGGTCATTCCTCTGCACGTATTCCTGCAGGGCTAGCAAAGCCTGCCATGCAAGCTGAAGCTGCAGAAATTCTGTTTTGCATTTTCTCTTCAGACTGTGTTCCCTAATATTTGCTTACAAGAAGGAACCCCCAGGACTCTGTTACTACCACTTCTCAGTAGCAGCGCTCAGCTGATTTGCTGGAGCATGTACTTCTAAAAAAGCACAAGGTGCCACTACCTTCTCCTGCCCCTCCCCTAGGATCAGCAAATAGTACAAGGAAAATGGGGATGGAAATTCAGAAAGATGAACTCCACCTCAGGCAGCCCATCCATGCACAAAATGGGAGCTTTCTGCCTTGTCTGGGAATCAGAATATTTATTGTTAAAAATAATTTTATATTGAATTGGTTCAAAATTATTTTACAGCCAGGTGCCTGTATATCCTATTTTGGTAAAAAAACAAAACAAAACCTATTTTACTTAAAAGTATATAAAGAGAAAATTTTTGGAGCAAATGGACTTTTCTTGCAAGGTAGCTGTAACTCACCAAAGCAATGTAATTCCAGAAAATAGTCTATTGTCTTTGGGAGGAAAAGAATATATTATGACATATATATATTAGATATTATGACATATATATGACCACTGGACATTTCAGGAAGAAGTTAGAGCTTCTAAGATTAAAGTGAGAATTGAAGTTACTTCATTTAAAAAAAATTCAGTTTCCACCTTAATTCTTATTAGTAATTAGAATTAAATAACACCAAGGCCTGTTTATTGCTTCCATTATCAGTTCTAAGCCTCTTTCAGTGCCATTTTGCAAGCAGATTTCTTGCATGCTTTTGCTTCTGCCAGCTGGCCTTTGATGAACCAGTGGCGCTCCAGATTTTTCTCTGTGTTTAGCTATACACAAACCTTAGTCTCTCATATTTGTGGTGACTAGACAACTTTAAGAGAATAGAGAGTCATAAGGAGATGTTTGGATAATCCAGGTGGAAGGCATATTGAAATGTCCATGAATGGAAACTGCATGCAACTAAAATGCCTAAACCACCCAACTTAAATGGGATGATCCACTCTAGTTTACAAGATTCAAGCCGAGCTTTTAATCAGACAGCAACAGCAGCGTTTTATGTCAAGAAGGGATATGAATATGTAAATCATGATATATTTGGACTCAATAATGCCATCTTAGCCAGATGGAATCCCTACTGTAATTCAAGTGAGTATACATTTACTCTATATATTACAATCCTAAGGAACGCTGAAATCAGCCATGTGTGGAACAAGCATGTCTGCACTTAGTATCTGACATTTTTTTTCCCATGGAGACAAATGATTTATGTAACTTTTTTATAGCTTTGTATTGTTATTAGAAAGTAACATGCTTGTTTTTTAACATGTATTGTTTGGAGGTCATAACTTGCGGCCTTAGTGGTATGAAAGGAATTTTAATAAACTGTGGCCAATGCTTGTATGTAACTAAAATGTTGTTGAACTGTGATGCCATTTGTAGGGAATATACCGTTGTATTTCTAATAGGCGCTCTCTTCTGAAGAGATGGAAGCACAAGAGTTTTACATGTACGTATCCTGTTCCAAGTGCAGCTAGTCTGTAGTGCATGTGATGATGCTGTTGGGTGACAAACCTCTGTAATGGTTCACAAAGCCTCTGTTTCCCTTTGTTACATAACCATGTGTCTTGTTGCCAGTTTATCAGTCTGTTATGACTTGAGGTTTAAAAAAAGAAAATACTAAAGAGAAAATAGTCCTGGTCTGACCAGTGCAGTGAGAAACCTTTCTGGTGCTGAGGGAATCTGAGGTCATTTTGGTTTCACAATGTTAGAAAGGACATTTTTCTGCAAAGTGCTACCAAGATGATAATACACATAAACAACGGTTTACATGGTTGATGTCGAAACCTGATGTCTGTTTTGTGCAATACTTATAAGCTGTTGTCTGTTTAATGCATCTGAATTGCTTATACCATAATATCTCAACCATGGAAGTTTTCTCATTTGTTTCATCCCATCTGATAAATCTCTTCCCAGCTTTAGTCTGTTGATATTGATGATACTTCATGCAGTAGTTTGTGCAAAACTGTGAGAGAGATTGTGGGTTTCAATGGCAAATACCCCAGCAAGATGGCAATAGTGGGTTTAGGACTGCCTAATAGCCAGTGGCGACTTGTTCCTCAAAAGCGTAGTGTGTGTATGTGCTGTCCTTTTGCTTGCTGCTGCTGGGAAGACTTATTCCACTAAACCGACTTTCCAATTTAACACTGTGATTCTGCACAGAGCTGATACAGCACCAAGGGAACGAAATACTGTAACAATGTTTGTTGCATTGAATGACCATATGAAAAGTGTGGGTTTTTTGCTGTTAGCGTGTTGATGACATTTTCACATTGGTAAATGTTCTCTCAATGTGACTACATTCATCAGTTGTGAACTATTGTACATGAATTTTTGTATCTGAAATCCACTCAAATTGTGTATGACCAATATAAAATAAACATATTTGCTTAAACATGTCTGGTTTTCCTTGTGTACATCTGTATCAGCTCTTGGTGAGCTTATGCTCATTGACGTTGTGGTGTCAAGTGAAACCCTTTATGGTCATTTAAAGGTTCCATGGCATTTTTGGCAAGAGAAAGGAAAAATGTTTTACCCCTATTAAAAAAAATCCCTCTGTCTTGAGGAAAAACTTCTGCACCTTTGTTCTTGGGAGCGGGAACTGGAAATTTAGTGGCTGCTCCTGGAGTTATAGAGGAAGCAAATTTGGGCTGAGGTGAGTCTCTCAAAATTGCTAGGACCAGAGGCACGCTCGGCGTTTGTTAGTTCGGCTGCTCCGTTCTCCCCGGCTTCCCTTTGCACTGAGCATGCTCCGCTCCAAGCCTCGAGGGCCGAACGGCACTTTCCTCGCTCCCGTTCCGCCTGGCCCCGAGCCTCTCGGGCGGGCTGCCGCGCACCAGCCCTGGGCCGGGTCGTTCCCTGGCGGGCAGCCTGGAGAAGCGGGCGGCCAGGCCGAGAGAGGTGGGGGGAGAAGGGACCGTGCTCGGGGACGGGCGGCAGAGGCCAGGCTGGAGGCAGGCGAGCAGCGGCGTCTAATCCTCCAGCCGCGGCCTGGCCTGGCCTGGCCTCCGGGGCTGCGGCCTGCCGCCTCCCCCCCCGCCGGGCCTGCCGCCTCTCCCCCGCCCCGGGGCCTGCCGCCTCCCCCCCCCCCCCCGCCGGGCCTGCCGCCTCCCCCCCCCCCCCCGGGCCTGACGCCTCCCCCCCCCGCCCGGGGCCTGCCGCCTCCTCCTCCTCCTCCTCCTCCAGGGGCGCGATGGGGCGGCAGGGCCCCGGTTGCCGGCGGCCCCCGGGGTCGGCGCGGCCTGCAGCGGGCGCTCCCCCGAGCTAGGCCGGGACACGGAACCGCAGACGTCACGGTCTAGCCGCCGCCAGCTCCGTGCGGGTCGGTCCCGCCCCTGGCGGCCGGCGCGCGGGCCGGGGCTAACGGCTGCCCAGCCGGGAACGAGGCTGCGGGGAGGGCTCGAGCCCGGGCGGCGAGGAACGGCCCGCGGTGCGCATGCGCCTGGTGCCGGACTCCCTCTCCCCGCGTCGCTTTCTCTCGTCACTTCCGGCTGCTGAGTTATGTTTCCGGGTTGGCGCCTTGACAGCTCCTTCCCGGTGTTGGGAGCGTCCCCTTGGGCTCCGGAAGCAGCTGCCGCGGTGTCGCCGGTGGGGGGCGATGGGGGATGGGCGGCGGGGCCGCGGGGCCGCGCGGTGAGTGAGACGTTGAGGCGCCCTGTGCGGGAGGGGCTGGGGGCCCCGGCCCGCTCTGAGCGGGGCGCGCCGCGGCTGCTGAGGGGCCGGCCGGGCGGGCCGGGGAGCGCGGCCGCGGCTGCTGAGGGGCCGGGGGGCGGGGACGCGGCCGCGGCTGCTGAGGGGCCGGGCGGGCGGGGAGGGGCCGCGGCTGCTGAGGGGCCGGCCGGGCGGGCCGGGGAGCGCGGCCGCGGCTGCTGAGGGGCCGGGCGGGCCGGGGAGCGCGGCCGCGGCTGCTGAGGGGCTGCCGAGGAGGAGGCGGCTCGCGGGCCGGGGCTGGGACCGCTCCGGAGCCGGGCTCGTGGGGCGCCGCTGGCAGGAGCTGGAAGGGGAAGTCGCGGCCGCCGTGTCCATGGGCCACGTTGCTGAGGAAGCAATAATACCGTGGAGCCCAGGCCCGGGGGCGGGGGTGTTTGGGGCAGGGGTGGAACCCGGTGAGGTGGGGCCCAGCCCCGGTGGGGCGGGGGGTGCGTGTTGGGGGGTGGAGCCCAGGCCCGGTGAGGGGACAAGGCGTTCTTGGAGCACCCCGGAAACGTCTCTGACTTCCAGATTGTCAGCTGGAGGGCTTTGCAGCGCATTGCCTGGGGGAGCCTCTTTTGGCCTACGAGGGAGCCGTTCGGCTCTGCTTCGCTCTCCTTCCACCTTCTCTCATGACCCGGTGTGAGGTGCACAGTCCCGATGGTCCCCATGCACTGTGTGGAACTTCAGAAACTACAGGAGCCCAAAGCTCTTTCCGGGTCTCTTTGGCATTGTCTACAGGGAGGACATTTTGGAATAACTGTCCCTCTGTGGACTCCTTATGCTGGAATAAGTGATGTTAACTCTGTTTGGAAGTGAAGTAATTAATACAAAATAAGCAGGAGAGTTCTGAGTAACTAATTGTATTCATGTCACTACTTGGAATGCTAATTTCACAGTGGGATTACGCTGCTACTTTCAACACTAGAAGGGGTTGTAAGAGCATAGAGGAGGGACCTCCAGGTGAGTTGAGAACAAAGACTTGTTTGAGGTTGCACGTCAGCGGATTGTTAAACAAGGGTTTGGTGGGTGGAGGAGTGTGATAAATATTCAGTATTTCTACTTGACACTTGAATGATGACAGTAGGTGCTGCTCTTCTAGGACTTTCCTCAAAACACAAGACAAACAGATGAATTAGCAGAAGAATATGTGAGAAAGTTGACATTGCAGAATTGTTGCAAAGCAGAATTGTTGAATATATTGTCAAATTTCTGTAGAATTGCTTAAAACTTAGGGGAAGAAATGGGGAAAGATTTATTTCCAATTGCTAGGTCCTCTAAACTGAGCCACCAAATTTAGAGTTTAGCAGAACTCAGTAATAATTCCCTGCATCAAAGGGTATAGTAAGAACTCAAAACACCAGAAGTGGGAAGCAAGAGAGAAATTTACTGTGAGATGTGTGTCTGTCATTGTCATGTCAATATGCTCCTACTAGGATCCTTGATTAGTGTAGTTAATAACTGCAAATGAATTTTTATTCCTGTGAGCTCTAGAGAGCCAAAACAGTTATGAGAAAACATTGAGAAATTACCAGTGTGAATGACCCAGAAAGAACATCACATGTTTTGTTCACAGCATTAGCCATTACAAAATCTAAACAATATTTGGCTGGGATTATTGAGATTATAAACATGGAACTGTGCAGTAACGCTTTGAACCAGAGCATAACAGTCTCAAGTTAATAAAATGTACAGTGTTTGCAATAATACTTACAGAAAATATTAAATTTGAACAGCAAAATTAAAGAATTTCTTTGTTTCCATCAAAATGAGGAAATGCAATCTGGGGAGTTGACAGAAAATTCCCCTCACCAAACTTCTTGCCTCTTATCCACAGCTTTGCTAAGGAAAATTGTGTAAACAAAGTAAATTAAATATCTTTCTGGGAAGAAATCTGCATAACTTGTCACCAGTGATAATTCCAAATCCACTTTTGACAATTAATGATAACAAATTTGAGCGTTTCCGCTCAATTCAGTAGGTAATTTTTTAAAAAAAATTTAATTGTGCAGTCTGACAGATATGAACCTTTTATAATAAGGGTAATAAAAATGTCTTAATGCTGTATTGGTTTCAGTCTATTGTCTGGTTTGGTGTTGAAACTTGATCTCTCTTTGATTCACAGGCACTGTTAGGCCATGAGCCCTTTGAAGAAACTGGAACAGGAGTAAAACTGGCTGAGTTAAAATTAAATCTTGACTTTTGGAACTTTAAATAGAGCATCAAACTTATCAACTGTGTAATTTGGCGACAGTTGTCTCAAAATACTGGGCTCTTTAGGTGCCATAGAACGGCAGCTGCAGTAAAATGTTTGCAAAACTGAAGAAAAAGATAGCAGAGGAAGCAGCAATTGCTCCTCGGCCAGGAGGGGCTGCCAGAATTCCCAGATCAGTCAGCAAAGAGTCAATCACATCTGTGGGAGCAGATTCTGGAGATGACTTTGTAAGTATTGTACTTTGTATTTTACTACAGCATTTTTAACACAAGGTTACAAAAAGCCTCGCAAGAATCTTGACTGACTGAAAAACCAAGTGCATGGCAGAGAGAGATGTGTGATGTGCTAATGTATCTCTAATCAGAATAGTTTTTGGAAATTGAAGTAAGCATAGTCAAGTGTTAGTGGATGAGAATAAATATTAAACATAATTATTTTTTTCATGTTAAGAATATAAATTACATAATTATTCTAAGTGCAGAACATGGCAAATTAAGGTATAAAATAACAAACAATGTTACAGCAAAACACAAGATACTGTATGTAAATGTAATGCTGAAGATTACAAGAAAGCAATCCAAGTCTTAGATTGTAGTGTTCTGATTCTCTGTTAACCCCTTAGGGTTCTGGTGCAGTTACTGGTCAGGCATATTGTTTACATACCTACATAGGATGCTTATGTTGTTTGTGTAGCATTGGAAAAACTTGTAGGTTGTTACTGGAATGTCTAGATAAACAATTTTTCATTTGAAACTATAGTATACATAGATTATATATTAATAATTTTAGGTGTGTATAAATTAAATAAAACCTGTTAGTGCTTTGGCTGAAAGTCATGCCTTTTGGAAGATTTTATGTCAGCCAAACCCTGGATTAGATTGTACAGCAGCATCACTTTCAGAACCTGCAGTTACTGTATGCTGTGTTGCTGTAGAGCAGCAGGTTCCCCTGTATCTTCATTCCATCATCTGTAAAATAGAGAGATTTTTCCAAGGAGGGATGCTGTAAAATATTTCTGAATCTCAACCACGTAGACATGGGTTGCTGAGCTAGGCAGGAAATCTTGATCTCAAATAGTCAATGGAAAAATACTGTGGTTACTACACTCCGTTTTTCATTCCCCCCCCCCCCCCCCCCCCGCACTCAGATCATTTTCACATAGCAATTGATACAGGATTGAGAAACATTGTGGCTGTTGCATTGCTGGTGTAGAGAACAGAAAGAACTATGGTGGAGGGAGACATTAAAATGTATGTGAGAAAAGGTGGGTGAAGTAATGTCTCTTATTGGACCAACTTCTGCTGGTGAGGGAGATGAGTTTTCTAGCCATCCACAGCTCTTCTTCTGGTCTGGGGCAGGTCTACACTTAAAACACTGCATCGGCACAGCTGCCCCAGCACTTAAGTGAAGATGTTCCTGTGCTGATGGGAGAGTTAATCCCATCGGCGTAGTTAATCCATCTCCTTGAGAGGCTGTAGCTATATCAACGGGAGA